TTAACCTTGGGATCATAGATAGAAGAGTTAGGGCTGACTGGTCTGAAGTTAAGGGACACTTGTGAACTCCAAAGCCCATGGACAGTACTAGGGTCTAGAATTGAGAGTGAAGGGGCCAGTTGGCCTGAAGGTGGGGGAGGCATGCGAGAGCACTCAAACTTGCAGATAGTACTCATTTGACCTAGCTCTGCTGTCTTATTGATCAGAACTTGACCAGATTAAGACAAAAAAATTCAAAACAGGACACAAGTATAAACTGCTACAATTTGATGAACTGGACCTTTGCTTATGGATGTAGCTGCTCAAAATTCCAACTAAAATAGAAGGATTCTTTATATCAAGGATTAAGCCTGTTGCAGAACAAACAAGATGGTGGATTGGATAGAAGTGCAATGAGGAGCTCCGTCAACAACAACACAGAATACCTGACCAAGCAGGCTTAAGGGATAGTCCCAGAACTCTGAACCACATATAAATGAATATTTAGAAAGTTGGGAAGGCTTACAGCTAGTGGACTTTGTAGCTGAAGCAAGAAATCCAGTGATTTTAATCCAAGGAGCTCAGCTGCTCCCTGAGCGGCCATCTCAGGCGAGAACGAGTGGGGGAAGGATCAGCACAGCCATGGACGCCTGACAGAACCGTGGAGATAAAGGAAGAAAAGTGAAAAAGGAAGCCCATCTACTGATCACATCTACCTGGAGGAAATCATAAAGCATAAAAAATACCAAAACATACACCCATCTAAGTATTAAGGCCACAGCTAACTACTGAATATACCTAAAAAACAGAAACAGATGACCATATTGGCACATGTCCAGAAACAAGATAAAGTGACTGAGACAAATGATCTGGCTGAAGGTAGACCTACACTCCACACCGGAAGGAGGGCACGTTTTGGAAATGCCTGAGAAGGAATTCAGAAAAATGATTATAAAATGTATCAAAACACTTTACAATGGAGTTGATAAAAAAAAAAAAAAAGGAAGAAGTCAGGAAAGTGTTACAGGAACAATCAAATAAGACACAACACTGGAAATAATTCAAAACCTACAGAAAGAGGACCAAACAATTATTAATAGATTATCAGAAATGGACAAAGCACTGACAGGGCAAAGGAGTAGAATTGAAGAGATGGAAGCCAGAACTAGAGAGCTAGAAGATAAATCTCTCAATAAAAAATCTGAAGAAGGTCTAAGATTCATGTTGGACAACATAAATACAAGAGTTATTAGAAAGAATCACACAATTCTACAGAGGAGATAGTTGAAAAGCTGCTGGAAGAAAATTTCCCTAACACCCTGAAAAGCTAAAAGATAAGCATTCAAGAAGCTCAACAAACCCCAGGAAGGATTAACTCTAAAACAAAATCATCAAGACATATAATAATCAAGCTCTCCAAAATCAAACATAAGCACAGATTCCTGAAAGCAACTAGGGAAAAGAGAAGTGTAACACACAAAGGCAAGCAAATCAGATTAAGCTCTGACCTCTCAACAGAAACTATGCAGGCAAGAAGACAATGGGGAGACATGTATAAAACCCGGAAAGCAAAAAACTGCCGACCAAGAATCCTCTACCCAGCAAAGTTGTCAATCAAATACGATTGTGTAACCAAAACATTTCAGGATAAACAGAAGCTAAGGGATTTTGCCAAAGCGAACCCTACGATAAAAAAACAACCTAAAGGGAGTTCTGTGGACTGAGAACCAAAAAGAACAGACAACAACCAGAGACTGATGTACGTGGCAGCATCACCCTGAACTTAATTGACAAATGGAAGAGTTGAGAACAGAATAAAACTATAAGACCAAATTTAGAGGATCTGGGAGGTCAGATCAAAACAATTACAATGTGAGAGAAGGTAAACACAGAGCAACAGAGATCCAGATGGTAAGAAGGTCAGGTAGATTAGAGGATAAAATAGACTGTCTTAAATGGAGAGAGGAGTTAATGGAATATAAGGTAACCACAACAATGGGGTTAGGGTGGTGAGTTTAAGGGGGAGGTGAAGGGAAGTGACAGTAGAGCACAGGATAAGGGCAGACACATCATAGTTCAGGTGTTGGGGAGGTAAATACAAGAAGGGAGAGGAGGTGGAAGAACAAGGTAGATAGGGGAACGTTGAGACAGGTTTGCATGGGTTAAGTGGGAGAGAGGTAAATAGTGATACATGCTCAACCTTGGAACAACATTTCTCTGTTCTGGTAGCGTAGTGGTTATGAATCAGACTGCGAGCTGCAAGGTCAGTAGTTTGAAACTACCAGTTGTTCCGCAGGAGAAAGATGAGGCTTTCTACTTCTGTAAAGATTTACAGCCTTGGAAACCGTGTACAGGGTCACGATGAGTCAGAACCGACTCCACAGCACATACAACAACAATAGGCATAGTTTGAAGTCCTGGTGTGGTGCCGTGAGTTAATGTGCCAGACTGCAAAGCCATTTGAAATGCAAGGTCTGCAGTTCAAGTTCACCAGCTGCTCCTTGGAAACCCTATAGAGGGTCGCTATGGGTCGGAATCAACTCAACGGCACTTAACAACAACAGGCATAGTTTGAAGAGGGGAAATAATACTAAGATGCTTGACTATCTTATGAATATTGGTTTCCCTTGCCTACTATTATAAAATAGACACTTGAGTGGGATAGAAAGGAATGTAAGGAAACTTCATTACAGAAAACTTGTAAGCCTGTCTTCAGCCTATAACTTATTGGAATACCTAAAAGGGGTTCTAGAACTTGCCCAGTGAAATAGGCCTCTTGCGGAGGCTTTGTAGAGTATAGGACTTTAGGTGGAATCCCGAGTCCCATGCAGAACCTTCTGAGATGGGACATTCTCACTAGAAAGGACAAGCAGAACAGCCTGGAACAGCTAGAACAAAAGAAGATGCATCTTCAAAGAAAGATAATCAGGAAAAACTGAAAAGAAAAATGCCAGTATGACTGGCTACCATAAGAATAAGCAAGCTGTTAACTGGGAAGCCATTAAGGCAAACAATCAAGTTCCTTCAGGACAAACTCCTCTCTAAGATTGAAACTCAAAGGGAACACATGAGAAGGCAAGTAAGCTTGCTGGTGACCACATTGGTTTACTGGTGAGTGGAAGTGGGAGAAAGACAGAAATGAAGAAATGGGCTGAGTTCAACCATGTTCCACAGACTCCTATTGACCTGGAGATAAGAGAGAGCAGAGGAAGGGCTGGTTGGTCTAAAGTATGGTGAGAACTTGGGGACACCTGAGCCATGGACAAGGACATAGCCACAGAGGGCTAGAGCTAAGAGTGAAGCAACCTGCTGATATAAAGTGAGGGGAGATGCACAAGAACAACCAAACTTGCAGACAGTACCCATTTGACCTAGCCTCGATGGCTTGATAATCGGAACTTGGCTAGAGGAAGATTAAAAAAAAAAAATTTTTTTTTAAATAAAGGAAACAAGGGTAAATTGCTACAGTTTGATGAACCTGACATATACTCAGGGAGGTAATAACTCTAAACACCAACAGAGAGGAAAGGAGTCTTCACATCAAGTATCAATACTATCCCCTCTGTACACAGGGTAGATAGGGATGGACAACTTAGACATTGGCTACCTAAAATGAGGAAGCGATAAAGGCACCAAGTGACTGGTTTACAAGGTTTCAAGAGGGAGTTTAGTTTAAGAGTGTGTGGGAGAAGAGTCCCCACTGAATAGTTTTCATCTTGTCTAGATGGGTTTGGCAAAAAGAGATGGGGAGAAGATTCTCATGATTCAATAGTGAGTAATTGTTATCATGACTAATTGTGACTCTCACAATTGTAAAGGTAGAAGTTTTGTAACAAAAATTGGGGAGCAGTTCATCTTACAGTCCAGAAACAGAGGACCCTAGGACCATCAAGGGAGAAGAGCACAAGTGGAATGTGGGACCCTACCCAGAGAAGCAGCGACACCAGAGATGGAGGCAGAGATGAGGACCTGGAGAGAGGGAGCAGCTGAGGACTCTAGATTCATGGGATGAGAGGGACTAAGAGATAGTGGCCATGAGGCAGAGTTGCTGCATGTGCCCTTTGGTGGTGTAAATTATTATATATGCCTAAGTGTTTTAATAAAAAAAATAATGAACTAAAGTGAATAGAGAGAAATACTGTTAACTGATGGTACATGGAGGGGATTGTAATCATTGTCATGAAACAAGTTGTATGATTTGTTGAATGTAAAACTGATGATCTGCCTGTAAAGTTTCACTCAGTCTACAAAAAAAAAACTTAAAGAAAAAAAAAAAAAAAGGATTAAACCTGTCCCTTCAGTACACAGGGTTGGTAGCGATAGGCAACTTAGACATTGGCTACCCAAAATGGGGGGTTATAAAGCCACAAAGTGGCTAACAAGCTTTCAAGAGTGTGCTTAGTTTTAGAATAAAGGAGATAAGGTAGAATCCCCACTGAAAAGTTTTCTCTTATCCAGATGGGTCTGGTGAAAGGGCATGGGGAGGATACGGATTGTATTCTTTTGATTCAATAGTAACTGTAAATGTAGAAAATGTGAAATAAAAAGGGGGGAGTAGTTAATCTTTCATTCCAGGAACAGAGGACGCTAGACCATCAAGAAGGAAGAGGATGAGCAGAGCTTGGGATCCTAACCAGTGAAGCAGCGACACCAGAGATGCAAGTAGAGGTGACAGCATGGAGAGAGAGCCGCTGAGGACTCTAAACACATGGAAGGAGAAAAGGAATGGCTATGTGCAAGCAGGCAGGAGGCTGGCTTGCAAAATGTGCCCTTTGAGCATTAAATCAAATATATATTTTCTGTGTGTTTTGTGTACAACCAAAAAAAAAATGGTTAGGGGGGGAGGCAGAGACAAATACTATTAACTGATGGTACATGGAGGAAATTACAATCATTGTAATGAAACAATATATATGACTTGTTGAGTGTAAAACTGATGATGTACCCTGTAAACTATCACTCAGTTCACAATGAAAAGTTGAAAAAAAAAAAATTCAAAAAAAGGAGAGAAAAAAAGTTACCTGAAATGGAGAAAACAACCACCATAAAATCAAAAATGTTCCATTCATTTGTGAAATAGTAACAGCGGAAAGAGATGAGCTTCAGTAAACATTCTCCAGCATATATCAAAACAAAAATTGTGTTAATCCAGAAAAAAGCAGTTTGCATTTGTAAGCTTCCATCATCACTTTCCATCATAAGACTTAGTGCATGGGTACAGATAAGAACCATGATGATGATATTAAAAAAATGACTTGTCACCAAATCAAAGATGAATCCTTGGAACTTGTTCTGTGGGAAAAAAAGGTACAATCATCTTACTAACAACATACACACACACATAATCTTTAAGCTCTCCAACTTGTTTTCAACATAAATGGAAGAACAGATGATGGCTGAAGTTTTTTCCCAAACTACAATAGTTATAGGAGTCAAACAAAAGGAATAATTATTTAAAGTTATATCAAATAACATGTTTTTAAAACTTAGTCAAATATTTTTTTTTCAGAATTAAAAAAAAATTTAAATTTAAAAGACAATGTATAAAGAAGACTGTTTTGAAGTAAAAATTCTAGACATTTTCTTACTTTTGGGCGAGGTATCAGTCTTTGAGAGTCCTCAGATAGCAATTTCTTCAGTCCACGGAATTGTTTCTTCTGTTGTCCTGTTATAAAGATATTTGACCCTCCCTGTTAAAGAAAGTACAACAAAGAATATAAAAATCACATTTAATCCACATTGCCTCTTATATTAGTACACATTTTAGAAGATTTGGCAGTTTTTAATTTAACCTTTAAAAAAAGGCTTCATTATAATGAAATAGATCATGATTTGAACATGTATGAATTTTGTACAAAGATTTACATAAACTATACATAGTACACTGGTAAACTGAAATTCAATAACAGGTAGACTTACCTGTGAGTAGTCAAAACTACTTTTACCTTTTAGTCTATCGAGGAAACAATCTTCTTAGAGAAAGAAAAAAGAAAAACATATTGGATGTATCTGGAAAGGTTATTTAAAAACTGAACATAATACCAAAAAATAAGGTCAAATTCTTTCTTTTAATGAACATGAAAGATAGAATTGATTATGTATGTATTTTTATATGTTCTTATGTTGCTTTAAGGAGTCCTGGTGGTACAGTGATTAGATGCTTGGCTTCTAACCAAAAGGTTGGTAATTCAAACTTGCCAACTGCTCTACAAGAGAAAGATATGGCAATATGCTTCCATTAAGATTACTTGGAAATCCTATGGGGCAGTTGTTCTACTGTAGATTGCTCTAGGATCATTATGAATTGAAATCGACTTGATAGCATTTTTTTTTTGTTTTTGCAGGGAGACTTTTTTTTAAAAAATGTGGTTTGGATTGGTCTTCATTCAACAATTTATACACATTTGGTTTTGGCTTTATACTATCAGTTGCCATTCCCTCCATGTACCAGCACTCTTCCCACTTCAACTCTGGGTTCCTTATATTCATTCATCCTTCCTGCCCCTTCCTCCCTTCTGAGCTTTGTTTTGAGACAAATGCTGATCTTTTGGTCTTTTGTGGTCAATTGTTCTGAGAAGTACATTCCTCATGAATATTATTATCTACTTTTTAGGACTATTTGTTGTTTGGCTGAATTATCATCACCACGGGTAGGTTCAGTTGCATGTTTGAACAGTGTCTAAAGGCCACAGTTTTGGGGGCTCTACCAGTCTCTATTAGATCAGTCAGTCTGATGTTTTTTATAATTTCAAATTTTGTTTAACAATTGTGTTCAGGGTCTTCTGTGTAGTGTAGCCAGTTGTCACCTAGTTTTTCTGATCCCCGATTAGTGGAGACTGTGGTTCACGTGGTTCATTAGTCCTTTGAAATAATTATTTCCCTGAGTCTTTGATTTTCTTCAATTCTCTTTACACCAGATAGGGAGAGACCAATAGTTGTATTTTAGGTGGCTATTTGCTAGCTTTTAAGACCGCAGTTGCTACACAGCACAGCTGTTTTGTTAAGTACCATAGAGTAGGTGCTGACTCATAGTGATCCTGTATAAGGTTTCCAAGGAGCAGCTGGTGAGTTTCAACTGCTGACCTTGCAGTTCAAACCAGTCTTGTGGTCCAGGGCTTAGCTTACAGAGCCACACCA